TTTCATAAACCCAACTGCATCTGTTTTTCATATCCAGAAATTCCATTTCTAGATTTAAAAATAGGAAAAAAAAATGGTAGAAATGCAGGTAATGCCAAAATATTGACGGAAAAGGTAATGGAATTCTACATTAAAAATACAAAATACCCAACATAAATACATCACTATTAGATGTGACAGTTCAAAAAGCATTCTTTCAGCGTTAATTCCAAATCTAAGAAAGTATTGGTGACTAACACTTAGTGGCGCTGATGTCCAGAAAAACATCTAAAACATCTCCAGCAGGACCAGATTCAGCATGTAAGAATAAAGGCTTCATTTCACATATCTTGGGCACTCAGATTATCAACTTGACCACAGTTTGAGTACAAACATTAACGTCTGTGTAAGTGGTGTTATTGCTGGTTTGTTTGCTTGGGTCTGATTATCCCACGTGATGTTTTGGTTTTGTTGCTCTGTGTGCGTTTGGTCCTGTCTGACCTTCACAGTCACAGTAACAAAGAAATAGTGGCCTGTACAGCAGGATACAAAACTCATCCCGAAACTGTATCCTGCACAGCACATCTTACTCCAATCACAAGGATGCAGGGAGCTACCGTGTGTGTTAGTGGCATCTGGTAATCAAAGAACAGGGCTGTCTTGTTTTTATATCCATCCTCTGTGCTGGTGTAGCGTTACGTCACAAAATGGCCGCAGTCATCTCCCTCTCTATGAACCTAAAGTAATCCCTTGTTTGTTTTAAACCTTTCAAGCTTCCGTATCAGCTACACCTCTACTGTATCAGGCAGGCTCAGGTGAACATACACATCCCCACATCACTGAGCGGTGATTCCACCATCGTGGTCGATTGTGTTTGTGCTAAAATTCCAATAGAAGCCCAAAGGTCCAGTCCCAGAGGTTCAGACTGCTGGTCTTCCACCTTTCAGGGTACCTCACAGGATGGATGGTATTCACCTGGCTCCTCTCTCTTTCTGACCCTGCTGCAGCCCCATGTTGCAGCATTAATAGACCCCTGCAGCCTCACTGTGACACACCAGCACAGAGCGAAAATGAAAGCAAGACCAAGGATTCTGCGGAGCAGCGGAGTAAGATCGAGGCAGATGTGGGCATCTGGAGGGTGAGCCGGTGATGGCGGGCTGGAGATGGGGCTGGAGATGGGGCTGGCTCGTTTGCTGGCTGGAGTGGAGAGGTTTGGGAGGGTATGGGGGCGAGGATGGGCTCCTGGGTTCCTGCTGCATTCTGGGAGCCCCAGTTAATGGGTGAGTCACACCTGCATCTCTGGCCCACCAGTCAGTCCCAGAGCGTGGGCCTCTTCTGGCGTCAGGCCACTTTTCAGGGTCCTCCTCACTGTAGGGGTTGGTGGGCAGGGTTACCGTGAGCTTTAACCAATGGGAACCAATCCACTAACTATTTGGACTGAGTAAAACGAGGGACAGCCCATGTCCGTTTTGAAGCATCATTATCCAGTAAGTAGTGATATTTCTTTTATTTACACAACCTATCCTGTAAGAAAAGAGCTACTGACAGAATCCCAGATAATTCCACATAACTCACACTACCCTGCTTTGTTTTTTAAAGGGAGGCAGACGATATTGATTTCTCACTGAGTGTTGTAATTCTGCAATTTGGCCAGTATTTTTAGACTGTATATTTAATGATATGTCATTGGTAGCACTAGGTAAATCTCAACATGCATCGCGAGGCAAAAAACGCACATCGTTAGGTGAGCAGGCTTTGACAATTTAGGAAACCCTCCAGGATCAGGGTTGCCTACTCCTGCTGTACGGAATATTTTTCCTTTCTTTTTAGAGTATTTCATCACCCTCTACTGTCCACTGATGAAAACTACACACGATAAAAATAACTGACTTCTTGTCAAGCTTAGTGGCTGAGAGGGTCTGCAGTAAGATTTCCAAAAACTCTACCAGCATCTGAAAATTATGCCTGTGCAGAAAACTGCAAAAGGGAAACCAGTTAGCACTTAATACTGTATCTAAAGAGTATACTGCTGCTTTTTATTGTGTTAAGCTGGAATTATGGGTACGGTAACTGGGAGGGCCACAGAGATGTGGACTGGTAGCCCGTTACAGGCTGGTTCGGTACTCACGCGACTTGCGGTTGGCGCGCGATCTCTTCCTCTCGCGTGGCAGCGTGCGCTGGCTCGGGCCCTGCGTCGCCGACTTAACGATGCGCTCCATGATCTCATCCGCCGCGTCCTCCGTGCCATTGGGCGAATCCTCGTTCGCTGTCGCCCATGAACTCAAGCGGCCTGCCGGGGAAACGTCAGTCAGCGCTCAGACATCGCTCCGGTTGCCGTCGCCTGCGTGATTAATGAGCTTTTTGGGACACGGGGGGGGCGGGGGCAGTGTTGATTTTATGTGGCCTGCAGTCACATGCGGCTTAACCTCCAGTTCGGATGTGTGAAGCGAAACGCAAGGTGCTGCAGCTGTTTCCCAGCTGGACGTCATGGTCACTGCGCTGCCGGGACTTTACACAGACCATAACTCATCCTGTGTTTTCATGTCGCTGTGCTGTGCCGAGATTTTTAAAACCCATTTTCTAGTTAAGCAGGGTTAGTGAACTGAGGCATATGCTTTTGTAGTTAACTAGGCCAATTGACTATCGTTATGGAATCGCTAGAATGTAACGTATTAGTTGCAGAGTATATCTGAAATTACATAAAATAGTTTAACCTGTGTAATTAATTATATAGGAGATTTATTGCTAAGTGAATCTTTGTATCATTCTTTGACGCAGTTAACCAGCATTTCCTCCCTAACACCGGCACTAAACCTAAAAGTGTTGTTAGTTAAAGAATACTATCTGTCATCATAGCCTGCAGAAGCTGAGGGCCGGATCGGCTTTCCGGCAGACTCGCCTCGTGTGGCTCGCGTGCGGATGCGGAGTCCGGGCATGGAGGCTGCCTCGCTGTCGCCGCCCCGCAGGCCGCCCCTCAGCACTGCCTTCATGTTCTCGTGCTCAGCAGCGTCCTCGGCGTGCTGGAGGCCCTGGGGCTCGCTGTCCTGCCCTGCTGACGGATTGCTGCTCAGCTTGCCACCCTGTGGGGGGGGGGGGGATATGTTAGGCCCATAGTGGGACAGCAGGCTAGCACAGAGGTTAAGGACAGGGGCATGTAATCCAGAAGCTGGTTGCTGAAGTACCAAGTGGGGCCTAGAATACTCCTAGTATTAGTACTCCTAGTGCTAGTACACAAATACTTAAGGTGGGGTTATAGTAGATGTCATGTGATCAAACACACACTCAAACTGATGATTTGCTGGATTCATGTAGCCCCACTATATTACCCGTTAAAGAAGGTGCTTAATTTGAATGGCTTCATTACCTGTGTCGACTGGGTAAAATGCTAACTTGCTCCATATGCATGCATACACACAGAGTTAATTTCCACCTTCAGTTTCACGTTAGAAACAGCTCAGCAAACTGAAGGCAGTCTTAGTTACTTTGAAGGCCGCCCCAAGGTGTCACCATCCTACAGCGGAACATCATGAATCTTTATCTTTAATCAAAAAAAAAAAAAAAATAGAGAGAGGACTCTATCGACAGTTTGAGCTGAGAACCATCTGTAGACAGAATGTAAAATAAACCGCAAACATCTTGGACGCATAAATCCCCACAAATATCTATGGATACGTCCAGACTGTGGCGGAAGCCGCCAGGTGGAAGTCTGTGGCCGTGGGGCCGCAGATGCGCTTCAGGTCCGGGCTGTTACTCGAACCACAACCCTTTGAAAAGTCTCGGCCCGGTTTCCCCCACGACCGGCAAGGCTCTCCGGAAGGGGGTAGGCCGTCGTCAACAGGGTCGCCTGACAGAGAGGGAGTCGGCACAGCACGGGGGGGGGGACCTCCTGCACTGCGGAGGGTCAAGAGGAACCGAGGCCCCGGTGGATGTGGACTAACACGCAGATGCTCGGTGAGCCCCCACCTCCCTGTCCACCCGGGCCTGAAAGCTATTATTAGATGCACCTCCTGGAGCGCGTTCCGACACTACCTCACAGGATCCAATTACCCCCACCCCCCATACCAAACAGCGCCCCTAATGAGAATCACCTGGCCAAACAAAGGGGATAGTGTCTACTTACCTGCCACCTTCAGAGAAGACTAATGCTATTATGGGGCAGGTGTGCAGAGCCATTCTGTGTCAACATCCATGACATACACTCAGATGCTCATACAACCAATATTAACCAATATAAACTAACAAATAAGAAAAAAGTACAATTTAAAAAGAGATCCTCCTCCAATACTTTGCCTGCTCCCTGTCCAGTGGGATTCTGACAGAGGGTTAACCTATTTGACCATCAGTTTCTCGGCACACTTCCAAATGTAAGAGGACAACTTTCTCCATCCCCCAATTAGGACATCTGAGCGCACAAACAAACTAACACTTCCAGGAAGATGGGGAATCCCTGGGCACAGGAGAACATGCAAGTCAGAGCAGGGGATTCCGCAGGGGTTAAGGGGGACGCGCACATACAACTGTCATACCTCGCTGTCCTCTTCATCATCCGTCTACAGATTGGGAGAGAAAGAACAGAAGGCATGGGGAACAGGAAGGGAGAGAAAGAGAAGAGACGGGATAGACGAGGTAAAGGGAGTTGGAAGAGTGGGAAAAAGAAGGAGCACTTGAAACAGACAGAAGTAGAGAAGAATAATGGGTATGAAACATGTTTAAAATGCTGTGATATGGCCTTTACAGGAGACACCACACTCTGTATTTACATACTGACAGAGACAGCAGCACGCTTTCCAAAGCGGACCTACTCCCATTTAGGGTTTGTTGTTTCTCCTGCGGGGACGTCCAGAGGTTTGGATTTTCACACAGAGATTGGATTAGGCTGTCTTTGAACTATGACAGTCTCCTGCCAAGCCAAACATGCTTCGCGGCACCAGAGCCCGGCCTCCGTAGGATCGAATAAAGCTGTTTGGCAAAGTGAACCCATGGGCCTTTCTGTGATCGGCTAGGGCTGTCTGGAATGCTGAATGGCAGCCCTCTTTGGGATCGGCTCTGGCTGCCTAGACACCAAGTAACAGGTCCTTCTGCAATGGGCTGGAACCAGCTGGTGCACTAAGCCTGAGATTGCTTTGGCATGGGTTAGTTACTGAGATCGGCTGGCAATGCCTGACCCTGCTGATGCAGAGTCAAAGGGCTACATTCAGAGCTTCGCTGAGATCACAGATTGTACTGTCATAGTCTCAGGTACATTCTGGGAGAAAATCACTCACAGTATAGTGACATAGCCAGGTTGGGGGGCCACAGCGTTACATCTTTCCTACAAGACTACAAGGCCACTTCCTTCAGTAAATTATATAATAACAAACACGTCTTCGGACCTATTCAAAATATCTTACAGGCCAGAAGCCACAAGAGGAATGAAAATGGACGTGGAATCTAATCTCTGACCTCACGCCAGGTTTGTGGTTCCTCTTCATCTGTGTATTAGGTACTTTTCTGTGGATCTCTCCAGCGTTAAGTGGGCCGGGCAACTCAATAGCCAGTGAAAGCGAGAAACACAAACGTATCAAACCGCACAGAGAAGCAGGTCTGTCTTCTGCTTCACACACCACAGTCTAAGGCTACATCTGTTCCCTATTACAAGCCAAACTTGACAGCACTTTGTTGTGTTTACTTTTGAAGAGGACTGGAAATTAATCCTGAGTTTGCTCAATGCCCTCCTTGGGTTTGTATCTGCCATACAGATTAATAATCACACTTTGAGGTCTAACACTGGGGCTTTCAGCTGAGCTGGTGCCCTCTGATTGGCTGCCTTCACGGTATGCGACTCAGTGTGCATTGTGGGATACGTCACAGGTGAGCTCCGTAGGATCAAAAATCTCTTTGTGAGATTGGCAGCCTGGTTATTTCATTCCAGCAGCATTCCTTTTAGATTTTTGAACGTCTTCCCGATTTCAAGACAATGCGAGTCTTTGTTCCCTTTTTACGACACAGAGGCAGAGATGTGGTCTGAAGACATCCAGGACAGGAGAGCTACTGTTGCAGTTACACTAGTGTGAGACCAGTCAGAACATGGATAAGGCAGTCAGAGACGCCTGCGATCCCTGAAAAAGCACAGGCCCCCGTTTGTTGGTAGATACTCACGTCGGTGATCATTTTCCCCCGGGTCTTGTTCCTCTCGCGGTGGTCGGCCCGTTTCTGCTGCTGCTGCAGGACTCGGTCCCGCGTAGTGCGGTACTCCAGGGCGAACTCGCTCACAGTCTTGCTGAATCGCTGGATGCTGACCTCACGCACGGCATAGGCGGGCTGGCCCAGGAATAGCAGGAAGGCATGAAACCTGGAGGCCAGACAGATGGTAAACAGTCAAAAGAAGCACTTCTACAGACATTGAATTCTGAAATACTTAAATGCTTATAATATGCATACATCCATACTGTAGTATGCATACATCCATAAACACTCAATCAGAACAAGGTTACAATAAGTCTGGAGCTTGCAGGGTTACAGGGTTAAACGTGGAGGTGTGATGATACAGTGCTAACCATAACACCTCTATATATTTAGACCCCTGTTAGGAAAGATAATTAAACACTAAAAACACATCAGCAAACTGATCATTTTGTAGCTTGATGCCTGAGAAACTGTTACCCTTAAGCCGGCCATGTACTTCAGACAAATCGATGGATTGGCATCGGTTTGCCAACATGACATTGTATGACATGCAATCACTACAGTGATCACCGATTTGGTCCATGACTGGCTGATGCCATGGAATTAGTCAGTATGGCTAATTATGCCGTTACCAGCAATGCTTTGCACCTCCCCGCACTTTAGATAGTGTAAATTAATATTTGTATTAGTGTATTTCTGTTAATGGTACATCTCATAAACGTCTATTATTTGCTGTGGAATCTGTGTGTTTTGTTAGCATCTAACCACGAGTGTCATGTAAATCGTTGGCTTTAAACCAGTTTTAAACCAGTAGTGGCTGATAATAAATTTTAAAAGAGCTGTCGTTAAGATCACCTTTATTAAATTGACTCACACATTTGATACAGTATCTTTATTTGCCCTCTGCATGTGGTCTGCTGCGTCAAACACATTCTACGCCCTCTAGGTTTATGGCGTGGCATAGAGTGAACAAGGTGACATTGAGTATGCGACAGATTGTTCTCGCTGACGTGTTTGATTTTGTTTTGTCCATACGTCAGCCACCTTTAGTGTCTTGATTATGGGACTCCGGTGGTGGCAGTGTTACCTGTTGACGATCCTGCGGTGTATGATCTTCAGGATGATGATCCTCTCGGCGCAGTCCTTCAGGAAATCCGACATTTTCTGCTTCAGTACCGACTTCATTTCATGCTTGGCGATCACCTTCAGGTGATCCCACGATGCCTTGCACCGGCGTTCCATCTGACACAGGTTCTCTTGCAGTTGGTCAAAGTCCACCTGGAAAACACGTAAAAGGGCCCTCAATCTTCTCAGCTTAGACCGAGGTTCTGGTCACGTGAGGTCAGAACTTTGAATACCATGTGTCTACAGCTCTAAGCTCAAAGTAATAAAACAACTGAAAGCAAGAGCTTTTCTGCCCTTCGTGTTGAAGGAAAACTGTTAAAAAATTATCTGGAAAAAACAGGAAAATGCAGATTGTGCATAGCATCATCATAGCTGTCTGCAAGCAAGTCGTAAGTCTCCTAGCTTTGTGCTGAGCCCATACAGGTCCTATGAGATATCTCAGAGTCTTTGCCTTGGCACAGCGGGTGATGGCTCCAATCTCCGAGTAGAGGTCTGTGCTGTCTTGGAACTTTTCCACCACGATGGTGCAGGCGTGATGCAGCAGAGACTGCTTGTGGATCGTGTCCTTCACTTCTGGAACTTTCTCCAGGTAGCTCAATTCAAAGCCCTTTGCCTTTACAGACACAAAGACGTAAAAAATGCTTCAGTAAGTTAATGAGCATGTTAAAAGGCTGCACATACACTTTGCATATACACACACACACACACACACACACACACACACAGACATTATAAATAACAGGAGTCGGGTAATTGCACAATGACATTTGCTAATGTACTTTTGTTGTCAGAAGGCTACATGAACACAAACAGTCCAATGCAGAAATTGACAGCTTCTGGTGCTCAGGCTACATGAGAGGAACTCACATTTGATCCATTGAGGAAGTTGCCAATGGAGAGCAATGTGGACAGGATGTATTGCAGCGTCCTGTTGTTCTCCAGCTGGTCCATACCTTCCTTCAGATCCTGGAGAGGCTCAGCCACCTCCTGCAATCAGTGGAAAAGGTGGTCATCAGAGATAGAGCAGGTGTTCCTGGACACAGCCTGTCCAAAGTCACTCGAGGTCACCTCTGCCTTTGCCCCACCTGGTCAGCCACCGACCATAGGGTGAAAGACAGGTGGTTCTCATTATGCGTCTCTTACTTCCTGTGCATAATGTTCTGTCCGATAACTGGCCACTTAGGAAGCCTGGTTCTGCTAATAGCTTCTCGTGTGTGGGGGGCGGGGCAAGCTGGGAGATTTAGCTGCTGGCTGTTATTCAAGCCAAGGACTGGGGAGAAACCAATTTATAATCATAAAAGGCAACTTTCCCTCAAGATGATGTACAGGGAGGTGCCATCTTACACAGAGAAGCATGTTTTCCATTTCAAGCATTTCTGAGGGGGCTTTGAGCCATTCCTGATGAGAACATTCCTTGAGAAGCGCTCATCTTTGCCAAGAAGAATTCATTGTTTATTTCATACATGGTGCTGGATGCCGGGAAAGTAAGACGCTCAAAACTCAGGGATGGGTAAGCCCAAGTATTTATCTGTCAGCGGCTCAGATCATCCTACGCCCTGTAGAGTCCCGTATAAATAATGCCGTACACATAGCGCAGTGTTCCATGAAGTCACAGGTGGGCGATTTTTATCGTAGCATTGAGTGTAAACACAGGGCGCGGAATCAACTACTGACTCTCCTCAAGATCCTCATTAAGGCTGAAAAGCGACCAACAGTCTGGTCCAATTTTCATACTCCTTCTTGGCATGTTTTGGTCACAGAATGGACAGGCAGAGTGAAGCCACCTACATAGCAGGCTGGGCTTTGTACTGACTCGACTACGTATCTGCTGCTTGGCACTGCCACGTCTACTCTTCTAGGAAGGCCGCCGTCTGAAAGCTACGTCAATGTGGATACAAAGATGCCGCTGACACTTCCTTTCAACTTGGGGAGATTTATTCAACAGGGTGAAAAATCTGCAATCTCGAGGCAAAAAGACAGGAAGATGGACATCTATAGGTGTCTGGGCAGACATACGTGTCCTATAATCTCATTATAGGTGCACATGTTCGCGTCATACCCTGGTAGATAGTCCTGTTTGGTCTCTCCTTTTTGACCAAACATGGTATTTGCTAAGGGCAGTATGAATCGCTAGCAGATGGTCACACCATTTGTGTGAATAGCACAGGCATTGTCCAACCCTCAGCATGACTCCGAAACCCCCTTATTATTGAAGCCATTAGCTCTCCATCTCACACAGGTTTACATTACATGCAAGGTCATCATGGTTTTCCTGTTACGTTCAGACAGTACACGGCATCTCCGTTTTGACCGCTCGAGGAAGGGCAACAAGCAACGGCCACTGCACTCGGCGCGGTGACCAGATCCGCGTGGTTAAGATGCTCAGCATCTGAGGAGAAATAAGGTGTGTCTGCATGATGTAATACTCTGATTGGCTGCTCTGACCTTCTCCATGACCTCGTAGTCCATCTTGAAGGCCCAGAGCTGCAGGCGGGCGGAGAGCTCGCTGATGGAGGACAGGGTGAGGAGGAACTGCTCGGCGCTGCCCAGGGGAACGTCCGGGTTGGCCAGCTGCGCCTCCTGGATCTTCTGCTTCTCCTCCTCTGTGGGGATCATGGTCAGGATTTTCTACATGGAGTAGGAGGAGGGATGACAAAGAGGTGGAGGGAAATGAAGTGAGGCAGAAATGAGGTGAAGACAGACAATAAACCGAACCACCATGGAGAAAAAGATATTATAACTAACAGGTTTGCTAGTCATGTATCTGTAAAGGGCAGGTGAGAGGATAATGGGAAGCTACTGCCATCTTGCTGGCACAGAGAGCTTGTAACTTAACATTTCCCATCCTGAAACCCTCGTGTAATGTCTGTACTGGGAAAGCCGAGCCCTTGGGGTAGAGTGGCCCAGCATTCCCTGCAAAAGCAGACGGGATCCCTTATTAAGTTATAAAAAAAAATCAGGCGAAATTCAGAATAAATCATTATTGCAGATTTGAAATCCATCAAAGGTCTACATTTTGGTTTTAAAACTATGTCCGCAATGACTCCCCCCCTTAATCGCCATAGTGATTAATTATACTTAATCAGCCAAAGTATACGAGTCCAGCTCAGAGACCGCAGAAGCCAGCCCCAACTCATGGAAACATATTTTTCAGTGAAAAATCATGCATTTGCAGAATTTTACTGGAAAAGTATTTCTTGACCATCTTTGGGGGTTTTATTAATTTTCGCTTCGTCGATCATTTGCGCCTATGGCGGTGCAGCAGTTCTGAATAGGAACATTTATTTCAGGTCGTGAAAATAGACAGCGTTATCGATGTCAGAAATTCAAGTATCAGCTGGGTTAGCAAATGAAGGTAGATATGCTAAGGACAGCCTGTGAGATTAAGAAGTGAAAACTAAATTTAGGTAAACGTTTATCATACACACACACCAAAAAAGATATTCTAATCAACATGGGTTCGTATTAAGCGGATTGTAGCTTAATAAATATACTTGTACTTAAAGTCATACAGGCACACAGGATTTATGTGCGGTATCGTCATTTTCCGCCCAGTGCCCCCCAGTATGCTCCCACCTCAATTCCCTCTTTGTTTAAAGCGTATTCATCAAAACTCAAGATGGCCGTCTTTATGGTGCGAGGGGGCGGCAGCACCGTCAGCCCAATGTTGATGGCGTTGCTCCGCTTGGAGTCCAAGACGATAATCTCCTGACGCTTGCCATCCGCTGCTGTTTTCTGATGCAAGAAGAACAAAAACGTTGAGCGGTTGAGTTGAGCGTTGGGTCCCACGCCGGACTGCGGAGGGTGAATTTATCCTGCTGCATGTCTGGGAGGGAACGGCTAAGTGGCGATGCAACAACGCTCATGACAGACAGCTGAGTCGCATTTCAAGAGCGTCGGCACAATTGGAAAACAATACTCCAATGCATGAGCAACACCTTGAGTAATCCTTACTTATAACGCTCTATGACATGCTAATAATTGTTAAACCATCTGTCCATCAATATTCTATAAGCTTTTATCCAGTCCAGGGTCACCAATTGAGTACTCTGTGACTCTGTATACTCAGCTGGTTGGTTGAAACAAAATCTTGGCCTGGATTTTTACTTTCTGGACTTGAAATTATCACCTCTGGCCTCAGCTTAGCATTTTACACCCTGGATGACATGCCAGGCCATCCCAGGGATCTTACTCATAAAAAAGACATGCAATGTGGGTAATTTAAAGGTACGAATTTGCCAAACCCCATGCAAACTCAACGCACAGACCTTTGTGCAACCCTACTATTAAACCAAATCTAGCGTTTCATGTACACTAGCATTGCAGAGAGCTTGGAAAACTGCTATTGAAGACTGCAAGAAGGTCCACAGTGTAGCATAACATGAAGAAAACACCAAGCGTCTTTTGCAGGTTTGTGTGTCTGGAAAATGAAGAAGCCATCATGTAAAACCTGACTTCACAGACACCTCTGCTACTCCGGTTATCTCCAAACAGATGGCATGAAAGCTCACGCTAAAATATCACGCTAAAGGGTCTGAGGAGCTGGCATAAAAGTATAAAGAGGGCGAACAAGCCGATAAGCGAGAATACATTCCTGTCTGGTAACCATTACAAAGGCATCCAGAGACCAAGGCCGTCGCCGTCAGGGCCTGTTTTGAAAGGTGAGAAGAGAGACAGCCTTTGACGATCCTTATCTGAAGGTCTCACTCACCTGAACCAGATGAGGAGGGCAGGGCAGGGCAGGACAACCCTTCACCCCCAAGCCCAGGTTGCTCATTCTTGGTCTACCGGAACAACATTCAGTTGTTCCACCAACTTTCATTGTGATTCTTCTCAGTCTACCTGAACCAGGCTGAGCTTTGCCAGGTATGCCCGCACCCTCCCTGGGCCATTCTTAATCTTCCAGAACCAATCTGAATTCTGTCACGACAACGTTTTCCATATTGGTCCCACTCAATTTACCAGAACCAGGATAACACCACCCCATGTTGGCGTTTCTCGCGCTGGCTTGAAACCACATGAAGATCTACCTTTGCAACTCTCACCCTCATTTTCCCCTGGTCCACTTGGACCAGAGAGAACTCTGCTGGAAGCAGGAGGGAGCAATCATTCACCAAGACACGCCACCTCGGCCTGTCAGATAAATGGAAAACACATGGCCAAGCCCGCATTGGTGCGGATGCTTTTTTTCGACTGACGTTTGCCCTGTTTTTATCTGCTGTACAGTGCAGACACAAAGGAATCCTCACTTTGCCATCTGATGTGGGACAGGCAGAGATAGATTCCAGCATACTTCTGGGAGCTTTCTAGAATCTTGAAAGTGTAATTGAATCTGCAATCTGTGATGCTGTCATCAGGTCTTGACTGAATCTTCTGCTCTGTGCATTCAGTTCAACCCGAAGATCTGACAACAGATCTGGACCCCCTGCTATTCCACATATCTGTTCGATCCCCCCCACCCATCTGATCAAACTTTACTTGAAGAGCATAATTACCAAGGGTAACGATGGGTACGGAAGAAGTGTGGGAACCTCTGGGCGTAGCTGACAACAGTCACACAGACAGCCAATGAAATGCAAACACCTGTCTACCTCGTATCGTCTACAACTCGATCATTCAGATTGCATCGAAGATCACCAGAAAGGCAGCTTTTAAGCCCAGCATTACTTTGTCCTGTCGATCAATAGAATACTTTAAACTGTTAGTTTACTTTGCTGGTTCCTGTTAGGTTAAACGTTTCCTCACTGCCTCATGTCCGCCTTCACTGTTTGCCTCGCTTCACCCTGCCTCCACGCACAAGATCTTTCTCCTGTTTCTAGGCCTTCTAGGGTACAAATGTGTACAAATAAAAGGCCTCACCGGTGAGATCACAGGTCAAATCACACAAGGTTTCCAACTGGGGGGGGTCATGTTTACTATTATATTTTCCCTATTATTATACACCCGGAATTGAAAACAACCGAACCGGGACTGACTCACGGCTGCTCCGGCCCCAACTACAGGAAGGAGAGAAGAGGAATTCCTTTGATGCCGGTAATTATCGAGGACGCAGCTTTCAGGGATACAAATAAAAATCCTTAATACACTGAATGCCTTCTGCCTCCTGTGCGGAACACGCAAGCACCTAAAGGCTATTTTTCTCCCTGGCTTAGCATAAAGGGATTGTGGACGACAAGGAAAAGGAAGGGCTTGTTTAGCAGCTAGTCAGGGCTGGAGCTCGGTATAGTAAGATTGTACATTGGGGGAAATTGACTACAGCTGTATGCAGGAGGCTGGGGGGGTGATGGTGGCTGATGTCAGGAACTGCGAGTTGAAGGTAAAAGGAAGGGGAGGGGAACTTGGGCTACAGCGAGGTGCAGAGCAAAATGGGGGTAAGAAAGGAGGTGGTATCCCTGGCACGCTGACACCAGGATGGCATCCGCGCCTCGGGCATAACAAGCCTACCCCGGTCTCCCTGGTGGGGATGTCAACACGCCAAAACAGGTGCTCGAATGGTGTCTGCCTCTGATTCCGAGACAGAACACAAGGGCTCGGTCTCCCTCGCAAGTCGAAACCGGCCACCGCCCTGTTAGAGAAGTACTGCCCGACTGTCAGCGCTACACAGCGGCAGGAAGTGACCTCGTCGGCCTTGCAGAGCGAATCCACCCGAACCGCAAGTCATTTCACCGAACCCAAGTGTTTACATGTATATTCGGCTGTTCATTTGAGTTTCATCCAAAGAAAACTGCACTTATCGGTTTACATAGATGTAATTAGAGAAATTAAAAATAAGTATATCACTCATTGACAACGACTAGGTCACAAATCCACATCCTTAGGCAACGTGCTGTATTAGCTTCAGGCTAATATGTCTGCACTCTAATGTAGTCAACTCTTGACAACGTATGTTCATTATTTAAAATGCAGTTAAATCTGATAATACATCAACAGGCACTGCGATATAAACCAAATGGGACAGAAATGTTGAGTGAGGTATATGTGTCGGTGTGGGCTGATTTTTTTTTTAATGAATGGAAACTATTAAGAACCCATCTGTGTGATTTATGCGGCAAAATTAACATTAGGCCCTCTAAATCTGTGTGGTTCACCACCCAGTTTGCGCCCTCCTACTTCGGGCCTGAGCCTTTGCAGAGTATGCAGCTCAAAGTGTCAGGAATCCCTCTGAGCCTCCCCCCCCCAACCCCCCCCCCGGCAGAAGCAGGAGGCACCTATTATCCAGCTAAAGACACAATGGCAATTCATCAAAATCGTTCATTTTCTCACTTCTATGGCCTACATCCGATGCAACATGTTTCCAGTATGGTGCTTGACAGGTTGATGGAGAAAATCCATAACTTGGTGTGGAAGACCTCAGGTGGTACAGCAGCCTTCCCCGGGGGCTAAACCTCATGTTAGATCTTCTCACTTCCAAATTGGTGTGTAATGCTCACCAGCCCATTTTAGCCATCCCAAACATGTATGTATGCAGTCACAATTTACCACACTCCTTTGCCAAGTCTGTAGGTTATATATCTGAAAATATATGTAAATTTGTTGTGCTACCGTGTTGAATTACATATATGTGAAAAAAAGCCAAGTCTTTAATCTACTTCTGGCACAACTTCATAAAATACCACAAACCTAAGTGAAACAACTGAATACTGTTTCACTTTGTTCAAACTGTAAGATCAACACATGCAGATAATTTTTTGTTTGTAGAAATCTACTGCTTTCTGCTTTTGCTCAGCTACATAATCTGGTTGACAGGACCCTTGAGCCAGGCCCTGAACTCAAAATCATGCAATAATAGTTATTTCATGGATGAGACACATGGTATACCAACAAGGATCACAACCAAAAATCAGCTGCCAACCAGAGAAAGATTATCTCTTATCTGAACTTTGATAAGCATTGTCTGAGCTTGCACACTTAAACCCTTTGCTTGAGGAGAAACACACCCCATGGTTACCTTGGTGACAGGCATCTCCTTGGACTTAGTCTCAAACAGGTGCTCCAGCTTGGATGTGTCCACCTTGACTGGTTCCATTTTGGCCCACAGTGAATCCCGGTAGCGTTTATGGTTCCGGAATGAGAAGTCAGCTGCCCTCACCTCACTCCAGAACAGCCGAATGGTTTTCTTTTTCTTATGGAAGACTGGAGGTTCACCACGAGCAAACTGTGGGGAGCCCAGGTGGGGCTGTAGGGGAGGGGCAGGGGTGGAGGACGGTGGTGGAGGTGGAAATCTCATGCCGGGGATAAGGGGAGGCGGCGGGCAGCCGAAAAGCGGGGGAGGAGGCGGCAGGATGGAGAAGGTTGGAGGTGGGGGTGGCGGTGGAAGCCCCTCCCCCGATCCCATCACACTGCCAGTGTCCAAGATATCCGCGTCATCCTCCTCACCGAGGTCCGTGAAGTCCATGTCCCTGATTCGGAGCTCCCGTGGGTTGGTCATCAGCTGGTCCCAGATGTAATCTGACTCCTTTTTGGGCGGCAGGGGGGCAAGTGCAGGCTTCTCTGTTGTCAACTGTTTCTCAGAACTTTCTGGCAATGGCGGCGACACCAGTCCCTTGACCAGGTCTCCGAACTTCTCTGCGAAGGCCCGGACGCTGCCCTGGTTATCTACATTCAAAGTGTCCACGTCCTTCCCGTTCTCATCATGACAGCTGTCCCCCATGCTGGACGTCCTGTTGGACTGTGCAGGTGGGGTCGAGTCCTCGTTCTCCTGGCCCTTCTCCTTCTCGCTCTCCTCTTCTTCCTCTTCTTCGTCATTCTCCAGAGGCTTCTTGTTCTGTGCATACAGCATGTCTAGCATGAAGCGCTTGCTGGTGAGGATGGTGTTGCACTGTTCATTCACATCCACGTCCTTAATTCCCTGTGTCCACTGTCCTGCTGGTTTGAAGGAACAAAGATGCCTTAATTTAGTTATGCATGACTTTGGTTATAACACGAGCATTTCTGTGTAGGACATCTCCACGCCTCCTCCCACCTGTTTCATGGCTGCTATTGAGTCTCTCCTCCCGTTCCAAAGTGCTGCTGGCAGAGGAGATACTGGAGGCCGAGCAGTTATCTTTCTCATTCACCTCCTCATTTTGCCGCTCCTTCTCACTCAAGACGGCGCTGTCCTCAGTCTCACGTTCAGGCGAGGCCTCCTGATCAGCCTCCAAATCTGCTTCCCCACTCCTTTCGTTCACAGCACCTGTCCCGTCTCCATCTTTGGATCTGAACTCACCGTCTTCCTCTTCCTCCTCCTGGTCTGGTTCCTGCTCACCCTCGAGTCCTGAGGCTGAAACCTCTGGCTCCACATCTAATGAGGCTTCAGTTTCCCCTTCAGCAATTGAATCGGCTTCACCAGCTGTTTCTGGAAAGATTAAAGATTAAAATGTTATAGAATAACGATTCAAATGTTGTAACAGCTATTTACAAGATAACCCAAAGAAGTCCATTATTTTCAAGTCTAACAGACAGTTTCTTCACTCCTTGATTACCATGGAAACAAAGTCAGTAGCTGTCTCCCTGTGTACATTTCTTGGATACCAGCACTATCAGATTGGAGAGCACTGGGTGCACTTCATGAAGAAGATTGACTATTTCAAGAACTTTATTGTCTCTTACATATAACTCAAGCCACATTCCACAACAATGTCAGAGCTTTTTTTTGAGCATAAGCACCTTCTTGATGCTATTGTCTTAGCCAATCTAATGCAAAATTCCAAAATCCGGGTTGACGGCACATTTTTTGATATGTATGTTCACACGCAATGAGCCACTAAAATGATATGGTTGAGAAAACAATGGATAGTTGTGGGCTCGGGAACCACGCTTTGTTTGTTTACATTCTCGGAGCCTTTCTGCTGACAGTGGTCTGCAATCTCATAGGTCTTTGACGCTCATAAATCGGATTATTAAATCTCGCCGTCATTTCAGACAGACCTGACCTCAGATGCAGAGGGTCTGGTTTAGGTGATGTAAGCGCTCCCCCCCTTCACATCTGGCAGATGGGTGACACGCAAGGGGGGGGGGGGGGCTGTGAAGTCTATAATAAATCTGGCTTTAGATGTAAAGGTTCATCTGGTCCATGTGTTTAAGACTGAGAATGGGGGCTGTCCTTCCAAGTGTCTGATTCGACCGAGCACAAAGGCTGTACATCATAGGAGTCTGGGTTGAAGTGGATGCGTTTAATGTGGGAAGGGGAGGCTAAAGATGTTCTCCAATTGCTCCTTCACAGACCCTGTCTTAAAACCTCTGGCACAGGATTGAAGAAGGAACCACCACTACCACCTAAGGGAAAGAAGAGGCTTAATTCTCTGAAGTGGAGGCGTGATAGATCTTGCTGGTGGCTTTGCTGAAACCTCACATAGTAGGTTCTTGCATTCCTTTCATGCTTCTCGTTGGGTTTTTGTGGCTAGGGCTGGAGCACGACACATTCAGACAGGTGGACACATTCAGGCGGATTTCAGCCCAAGCTACACCAGTGGGTGTGGCATCGTCTTACGTTTTGGAAACTCTCACTCTGAAACCTTAGTCCCTTGATATTTCAGGCACGTAAAAAATCCGCCCTGTGCGTGGGGATTTCTTCCTTTAAGCACCTTTTCATCTGTCTCAGCTGAAGAAGTTCACAAACAAGATACATGGACCAATGCAAATTAAACTGTAACACTTAGAGTCGCATGTCTTGATGTCGTATTCATCATTGCTCGCTTCTAAACCCAATGTGCAAGAGCTAACTGGGCCAGTCGAAGAAAGTAATTGGTCCAGTATGATCCCAATAGGCACTTGATCGCAGTCCATCTTGAGTTTGTCAGTATATGTGTAGGTGAGTAAACCATGTAGTAGAATAGAGATTCAAGAAGGTTGCTTTGGAGTCAACGAGCACCTGCCTTTACGACCAGGCAGACTTCATTGTTCCCCGATTCCCAATGGACACCATTGGCCGTCATAAGTAAATACAACTACCACGAGAGGGTATGTAATGAGCATCCCCACCACTACAGCTGTGGACTCCCAGAAGACGCTGACATCACAACAGCTTTGGTGAGGAAACACCAAAGAACAGGCTGAGGGAACAGGGCTGGTCAGCATCAGGACATGTATGCTGTCAGACTCTATTTCTGCTTGGTTAAGATGAGCTTTGGCTTTTCTGAGTCCCTCTTCTTTTTGCTAAGGGAATTAATTCCTAATGTTCAGAATTCTAATCACAGGCAATATGTTACTAATAAGTCTGTATGAAACACTGAGGTCCTACGAGACCATGGAGAGGAAGAGAGGGAGAGTGTAGACTGATGATGTAGATAATGATGGAAATTAAATACTGGCAGTGTCTTGCTAGAACATCTCTAAAATCACCATTCTGGCATGTCTGTGCTCAAAGCCTAATTCCAGGAGTACGAGGCGTTTAGTATCCTGTCGAGAGTAAACCCGTCCCTCTCTGGAATTGATACCGTCTGGTGTGCAAACCGATGACTTGGAGAATGTATACAACAGAGTAGCATGTGGATCGCTAGAGTGCTCAGGTAGCAAGCTGGTTACTTCATGCTGGTTAGATTACTGTGGGCCTTTGAGATAACAGAGATCAGGTTTTCTCTTGCAGCTGAAACGTTATGCGGTTGGGTTAAGAGGTATGTCTAAACTGTAACACTGCATGACTGTGCACGTGGATGTATGCACCCTGTGATGGACTGGCATCCTGTCCAGGGTGTACCCCAGCCTCGAGCCCCATGATGCATGGAAAACAGGCTCGGTTAGAAGATGCTTGCATAAAGAAAAGTTGGGATTTCTACCCTGTCTGCAGTGCTGTTGGTTCTATACCTCAACCATGAAGGTGCATGCAGAAGTCAGTTGTTGCCATGCCTGCATATACAAGGTGAAAGACAGTGCTTAGCCAACGCAGCCTATTACCCAAATACAGGCTTCATCAGCTGCTATCCTGGCTATGGACACGCGGCAGTGAGCAGTAGCTGGATTTTTACTCTGGACCACCGAAAGAGGAGAAACACGTCCTCTGTACCTGCTCTACACGTTTATTAATGCACTCCAAGGAAGCAGCTTTGTTCTGCCACGCTGCCCTTCACGGCAGCAAACAAGAAATCCAACGTCACGTTTCTGTACGCATCATACGTATATGGGCCTTCATACCTAAAGTCTCGAGAACTGATAGCTAGACTGATAGCTCTTACAGATGCACTGTAATACCTGTTGTATTATCTAAAACACACTTCATAGGACCCCGTCTGTCTCACCTCTCTCTGAAGGCAGGCCAGCGGTGGGCGGAGTCTCCGACTCTTCCTGTGACTCGATGGATGACGGTGTGGTGCTCCGGGACGACCCGCCGCCACGAGTCGGGCTCAGGCTCAGGTTCAGCTCACCGCGACCCTTGGGGGGCACCTTCACCCGCTCCCGCTCGTACTCCTCAGCGGCGATCCGCTCCACGTGCTTGTACCTGTCAGGCAGGCGGGTGATCTTTCAGGGGGGGTTAAACCCAGGGAGAGCAAGAGGGATGGTTTGGACAGGGGCATCCTTCCAGGGGAGGAGTCAGCTGGCCCCCCTCAAACATTCTCAGTTAGCCAAAAAAAAAGGTGACACCCGAGTCACACCCAGTCCCAGTCCCAGTCCCAGTCCGGGTGCCTCCTGCTCTGTCCGTTTGCCTCCCTTCATCCAAAAACCCTTCACAGTCTCTCTCTTCTCTCGAACGGTGCTATTTTCACCGACGGAGAAAATACAAGAAAGAGAGAGAGAGAAAAAAAAGGAAAGAAGCCTGCTTTGCTTCCCAGTAGGAAGGAGAAACATCAGAGGTAAATCAGCGTAACCTTTTCAAGATGTGGTGTCTATCGCATAAGTCTGCGGGCACTCACCAGCAAACCCGGACTCCTTCCAGAACGGCAAGGGGGGAGCTCACCATGGGTCTTATATATTTAGAAATGGACATGGGGGGGGGGGGGGGGACTTCTGTATTCACTGCTCATTACCCTAAGTTGGCTTTTTTGACTTTGAGTGAAACTGGAAACCAGTCTATCGCTGACTTTGCGGTCTGAGGCCGGCTTATCTGCTCTTCACTGGAACTGGCGAACACACGCATACGCACTTCACAAACGCACGCACACACATTTCTCACAAAACAGGAACGCAAAAACCCTGGCTGCAGGCTACTGCGTTTTCTACATTAATTAGAACGGGCCGGTACGTGAACGGGTAACACTTGTTAAGAAATTAACTGACTCTGAATCAAAGCGAGGCAATCTGCATCTGTCAGTAATTAACAGGCCAGCCCCTGACACGAAGTGATCTGAAATATGAATCATCTCCAGATGCACTGAACGAGACTTCCTTTCCTTTCTTTACCGTCTCGCAGAACATCGACGTCGTTACGAAGTGGGAGGCAGCCAGAGCAGGGCATCTCACCGGGGGGGAGGGGGGGGTATGGGGGGGAGCCCTCGGATCTATGCTTTTCAGTTTAAAGCGAATTGGGTAAACATCCTGCTAATTTGCCCCCCCCCCCCGCCCTGGTGCTACATGGAGATCTCTCGGGCACCCAGATCACTTCCAAGGCTCTCACACATCGGGGTCTCCTGCTCGCTAAACATCTCAATGTCCGACAGGACCGCCAAGGCCCCCAACACCTATATTTCACCGGGGGCTATAAGGCGTCCCGGCATCCAAACATCTGCTGTCTATTTTACCAGCAGAAAAAAAAAGCAGCGCGTTTGCTCTGTGTTTGGATAGAAGCCGATAGCCTTTAGATAAAAAAATAAAACGGGTAAGAATCGGATGGTGAGGACTAAAAATACTCATAGCAAGCACTAAAAAGACTCAGATGACGACTACTAAAAACACATGGGTGGTGAGTAGTAAAAATACTCAGATGTAGCGTAATAAAAATACTCAGATGGCGAGTAGTAAAAATACTCAGATGGCGAATAGTAAAAATACTAGCGTGACCACAATATACATGCTCACTTGAAGGCCGTCATAAAGTTTTTGCATCCAGCGTGACAGTCATTTCTGTTAGCGCCACTATAGTTGCCGACCAGATGGAAGGATCGGGCTTGCGTTCGACTGGCAGAAGGGGGCTCATGGTCTCTCTCACAGACATATCTCCTTTAAAAGAGGCATTAGCTTTGATGTAGGAGCAAGAGGAGGATATTTCGGCCCTTGTGCCCCCCCCCCCCCCACCTCACCACAGCAGTCTTCTTCCAAAGTGGTTTTAATCAGAAACTCGAAAGCATCTGTCTTAAATGGCCAATGAAATTGGCCCGGATTATTTGTAAACACTTCAAACAGGCTGGCTGACTCCGGCCAACACGGGTCATGCACCGGCCCGGAAATAGGACCAGGTTCGAGGCAGAACCGAGGTCAGCTGATGGGGGAAGCAGAGGAGGTGTGGAGCAAGCGAGGGGGAGACAGAGGGAGGTGAGCTGGGAGAAACCGAGAGATGACCCAGGGAAGGCCAAGGGTCGGGTGAGAGAGCTTCAGAAAGAGACCCAGTATTCCGGAAGGCAGCCGAAGGGAGAAGAGTCTGAGGCTGAGAAAGCTGGGGAGGCGCAGGTCCTTAACGGAGGGACCTGAAACGAAAGCCAAACACCTCAGGCTCTCCGTCCAGCCTGCTTAGCCGTCACACTACCTGGCCTCCCACCTTGCATCATTTCCTGTCACGTAATATATTGCCCCAGAGAGGCGATAACAATTAAGAGCAGACACATGCTAAACAACATCTGGCACTGTGTTAATACAGCAGCTGAGGGCCGATGGTTCCATATGGCACCAGTGTTAAAAACATGCCAGACATCCATAAATTACAGTGACCTTCCGATGGGGGATGAAGCTAGCGCTAATGCTAATGACGCCCCTCCCACCCCAGCAGAAATCGATCAGATGCACTCGTTTGTAATCAAATTCCTCACAGCTGCCTGAGGAAATTTAACAGGCAGCTTCTTTACGTACGAAAACTGGGAAAATGTAACTGTAGCCCTTGTGTAGCATTCCAAGTAAGCAAGGACTATAAATACCGTCTGGCTTTTCCGGGAAGGGTTAAGCCTGTAAAACGCTGAACTTCTCGTGCAAAACAACACATCAAAGATCCCGGAGGTCTTTAGCGCACCTGCTACGACAGCGGGCAACGGCGCTGAACTGACGAAAAAGTACATTTAGTGAAATGAATAGAATAATTTCCCCAAAACTATGAGAGCACCTAAATCCGTAACACACAAAAGAAGCTGAATAATTTACTGTCGGAAGAATACGGTCAATAAAACCATAAATTAAAAATATGACTAGAAAAATGGTTTTAGTTCTGCTCTTCTTCAAGGGAGAGAGACAGGGAAAAAATGCTTTTGGACTTTAAAGCAAGTTTCCACCTGAAAATAATTATCCACTCGTGAGCCGGGGGCGTGCGGTCAGAGTTGCTCTGCTGTGGACCGTCCGCTGGAGACCGGGTCACTGCGGACCTGCTGTGCTGTGTTTCACGCTTCTGCGGTGCTCTGCCGTGATCTCTGGTGAGGTGTTGCCATGCTTTTGGACAGACGGGGATTGCGCTCCTGCCCACGTGATCACCACACTGTACAAGTTTTTTTTGTGTTGTGGTTCAGTGGTTACAAAGGTCTCTTAAGGCTTTTAGCATCTGTTAGTCCCGATAGGCTTGTCTTTGTGTGTATGCGTGTGCCCCCTTTAATACCTCGGTTGTCACGGCTGAGGACTGCAGAAGGTTGCAGGTTCAAATCCCGTAGTCGGCAGAGTGTTTTCACTACTGGGCCCTTGAGCAACGTTCTTACCACCCAATTGCTCCAGGGACTGGTTGACCCTGCGTGTCTCTGTTGTACATCATTTCCATTAAAAGCATCTGCCTAAATGAGCATCTGTGTATGTCGCTCTGTGGAGCCTCACACTCTTCCTCACCTCTCCTCCCTTGCATGCCTTGCTTCTTCCATCTTGTCTGCAAAGTCCCGGCTGAAAGGAGACAGTGAGGAGGCGTCATGTAAAGCAAACCGCACTTTTAGTCACTCATGGGATGTTTTATGGGACCAGATCGGCAGAAGGTCCAGCAGCTTCTTCTGGGGGCCCAAATTCACCTGAAGCGGTTCCTCTCCTCGCGCTCGATGCGGAGCAGCCGCTCCTCCCTCTCCACCCGCCGGCGCTCCCGCTCGGCCGCCAGGGACTCCTGGTGCTGCCGGTACGAGGAGGACAGCAAGTTCCCCATGACCGCCCTGTGTGGATCGGAGGCAGAGGATAAGAGGCAGAACATTAGCACAGAACCCCCTTGAAGAACACCAACCACCATATATTGTCTCTAGCATCATTTCTGATTAGGTCTTTCATAAGAAAGGCATCATAAAATTCTACCCCTTTCCAGCGCTCACTTCCACCCTTAAAGCCGTTCCAGTGTCTGTTAAATGTTACAGTGGTAGAACACAAATGCCCCTTCTGGGGTATGAACCAGTGACCTTCAGGATCCAAGTCCTCGACCTCCACCCTGCCTGCTGTATTCAAACGAGGTTCCACTTATTCCCACTGTAGTAACCATGTGGTGGGAAAAAAAACCATCCCTGAAAGCCAAGCTAGGGGGCCATAAATATACATGGCTAGAGGGGGGGGTTTCTCTTCCAAAAGTCACCTCGAATACATTTCAATAGAGAGACCGGTCAGAAGTTCAACGTGTTAAAGTTACGTCTCTGCGCCTGGCCGACAGCGGGAGAGAGCCGCAGAGGCTTGGAGTCAGGGACCCCCTAATGGGGGTGGCAGGGCTGCCGGAGGAGGGATCAGAGGTGCGTGGAAACAAAATAATCGCACCGAGCCGCAAAAATCGGGGCAATTGGGGTACATCGTAAAAACGTCAATGTTTCACTGCCTTCATGGCGTCGCTCTAATGAGGAGTTTTCCGCAACGAGAATGTTCACTTGAAGCGAGACCTCTAAGAGCAGCGTGTCGAGATGCAATAGTTTCAGCTGAGAGTAAATGGAATGGTCAGAGGGCGCAAAAAATGCATCCTGTGCTTTAACATTTAACCTTGTCATGAAGCCAGTGAGCTTCAATCATCTGAAGCTCATCTGACTACAGTAGTTGGAAGATCACCCAGCTAGCCGTCAGAAGCTTACCAGATACAGTCATTAAAAGCTCACTCATATATGGTTATCTGAAGCTTATGCAGAGACTGGGGTTCGAGGCTCATCCTCCTTCATCGATCATCTACAGATGGTGCTATTTCCAGTGGCCTGTCATCTACAGTCTGAGCACGGCAATGGAAAGCTGGTTAGGCAAAGGGCATCCACCCACCCACCTGTCATTGTTGGACTCCAGTGATGGAGACACTGACGTCCCATAGCGGGTGGTAGGCGTGGGGGGGGGGCTGAGCGCGGAGTAGGACCTGCAAGGGGAGGGGCCGCTGACGCCAGGGTGTCTAGACGGAGAGAGAGACGGAGCGAGGGACAGTGACAAAGAGAGAGAGGGGGGAGATTAGGCAATTAGGCAAAATGGAGGATCAAAATGTTCTAGACCTGGGACTGGATTTGGGACCATCTGGCCAGCTAGTACGGGTCAAATACACAAACCGGGGATTTTGATACCGAGACGAGTTAGCACTATCAAAGAGTGAGCAGGTTGGAAACAGGAAAAAGGAATTATGGGTGAAAAGATGGCTGCGTCCATTCTGCCACGAGTGCCGTCTCGCAAATGGTCGTGTGGAAATTACAACCCCACAATAAGCTGTTTTTTTCCGTTGCCGTACAGTGGGCTTCGAAACATACCTTCTCACAAATAAAAAAAACAAACCAAAGTTCATAGCCTTCTGGCAGAAGTTAAGTGGACTAAGAACTCCCAGCCGACGGAAGGAAAAGCTGAATTTATGCTGCACTCGCTGGAGCATGAGAAATCATGAGCTGACGTTACATACATCACGACGGCGTGTAGATGGACTGAGAGACGTGGGGAATCGTTCCCACAGATGGTTCACTTGAGGGGAACAACAAACGAGGCAGATAACACGAGAGCTAGCGCCCCACGCTAATGCTAACGGAGAGGGACTGGGAACGGCCAGCTGCCCCCATTACGATTGTACTGGAAAAGGTCGGGAAGAAAAAAAGGAGCTTAAAAGTCAAACAAAAGTGAGAAGAAACAGACGAAGCATTCGCTGGGTTGCTGGTGGGGGCGGCCGTGCTGTTAGAGCGATGCCAGTGGGGTTGGTACTGAGAGCGGCGGAGCGACAACAGCCCCGTGCTAAATCCCGGCACCAAAAATCTCCAGCTAGCCTCCTCTTCAATTTGCGACATTCTTATAAACACTTTGAAGGGTAACCAAGCCTCAGAGGAACGACGGCTTCATGGTTTGTTTGTGTTTTTTTTCGTCACTGAAGAATTATTCCCCACCACAATGAAAGGCAGATGAGCAGAAGACTTCAAACTCAGGACAATCCGGGTCACTGAATCGCGAGCGTTCCCATTGGCAGCTTGAGTAAAGAGCTTGTGGGTTCTCGGCTGTTTCACGGACATGCTGCTGGTGGACATCAAAGGTGCCGGTGGGTATGTTAACACAGTGCCAGTGGACACATCAAAGGAGCCGGTGGACACATCAAAGGAGCCGGTGGACACATCAACACAGTGCCAGTGGACACATCAAAGGAACTGGTGGACACATCAAAGGAGCCGGTGGACACATCAACACAGTGCCAGTGGACACATCAAAGGTGCTGGTGGGCATGTCAAAGGTGTCAATGGTTACATTAACATGTTGCCAGTGGACACATCAAAGGTGCTGGTGGGCAGAGTGGAAGTTCTAGTGTTAGAGGACATCCCATCCAGTGCTTGGACATCACAATCACTGGAGGAGAGAGGGAGAGGCATCCAGTTTGTCTACCTGCACGCGATCTGTCCAGCCTTGGGCAAAGTGGACGTGACCTCCCCCTCCTCAAAGTCGTAAGAGAAGAGATGGAAGGGGGAGTGCGGGAGGTAGGGCAGGTGCTCCGGCGAGGGGGACACGGCCCCTCGCAGGCAGGGGGCCGCCTCTGACAAGGGCGGGACACTGATGGAAGATTTCCGCTGGGCCAGCAGGGACGCTAGGATGGACGGCTGGGCTGAATCGGGCCAGTCAGGAGGGGAGCGATCCACCGTCCCTTCCTCCTGATCGGGAGCAGTCGCGGCTTCAAAGTCGGCCGCGTCCCCACAGGGCAAACCTGGCTGTGAAATATCCCTGACCGTGTCTAATAATGGAGCCACAGGGACGGCATCGCTGTTGAGAAAAGGATGAAAAGAACAACTGGAAGAAAGGAAAGTGCATGAAGCCTTACAGAGGCATTATGGGCGCTGATGGGAAACAGACAGGCAGTTAAGGGGGATGGTGTCATCACCGGGTTAGAGAGAAGCGAGCTTCAGCGATTGTGATCCTGTAAACTTACAGTGACAAGGAAAGGATCATATTATCCACAAGTTGGGGACCAAAATCAGAAATAAGCAAAGAGATTTTCACCCATCTTATTATTTTTCATATTATATCCAGAATCATTTCTTTTTTGGTGTAGCTGCTGTTCTGTGTAAATTTTACATTTATTAATGGGACACCTGTGCATTAGTGCATCGTAGCAGAGGCAGGAAATGCATAAGGTGATATAATCAAACAACAGAATTGTGCTTCCTACAATTAATTGTTTTTGTTTTTTTTCCAAAAAAATGACCACATTTCGGTTCATCTCTAACTACGTGGCCAGCAGTCTGTGCTGGTATTTAACTGGGAACAACAAGAAACATATAAAAGGTGTTGAGGAGATCAACCAAGTGGCGCTTGGCCAGTCTCACGGGGTCCTGGCTGCCTCCTTGGCTGAGGGATTCCTGCCCCCGACCTCGATCAGGCAGCAGCACCTGCTGGAGGTACTCATGGATACAGCAGGCCCAATGTGGCCACACATGGCCTGAGAAAATCTGTGTCCATGGGCTCCCTGACCAAGAAGACGCTGCAGGACGTCACGTCAACCCAAACGGTCTTTTAGGGAATGCCATTAAATTTTGACAGAAGCGGTGCTTCGCTGCAGGCTTTGCACGACGCGAGGAGGTTAGTCACAGTGATTAGAGAGAAACCCGTGCAAACAGACCTGATGCATGGAGTGCAGGAAATGGACAGAGAAAACAGAGGCTAATCTGGGGAGAAGCAGCATTAGTGAAACAGAGGCTAATCTGGGGAGAAGCAGCNAAACAGAGGCTAATCTGGGGAGAAGCAGCATTAGTGAAACAGAGGCTAATCTGGGGAGAAGCAGCGTTAGTGAAACAGAGGCTAATCTGGGGAGAAGCAGCATTAGTGAAACAGAGGCGAGGGCTCGTCACTCTGGGGTGTCCTGAAGTCCTAGAGTACCTGGGAGCACCCAGGCTAGAGGACTCTGCATCCTCCTCATCCTCAGTATTAGGCTCTGTAACCGGAGGGTCATCCTCTCCCTCCTCCTCCTCCTCCTCCTCCTCGTATGGTCCGAGGGAAGGACGGATGATGGGGAGGGAGGAGCGAAAGTGACCAACGGGTGGGCCAGATGGAGGGAAAAGAAGGAGAACGGAAGAGATGCAGAGGCAACATGAAAACAAAGCGGGGCAGGTGGGGTCTGGCTGAGAAGGAGAGGGCAGCGTGAATGGAGAACCGGTGCCAACGGGGAAGAATGTGGTGAAGAGAGCCGCTTAAACGGCGTACAGACTTCACACGGGCCTCAGTAGGCAGACTTAACCTCAGATACCATAACGACGTGGGGCAGATGACATCACAGGGGCAAAAAACATGGCACAAATGTATATAAACAAACTTTTTGGCTTATTACCCAGAAGCGATGGCCAAAAATATAACATCAACCTCGCCACATGCCATATCTAGCTTTTTAAACAACCCCCGCAAAGCGAGCGTCCACCATGAGGGGGCAGCGGCTGGATCGGTTTACACTGAATGAGGCTCCCAGGTTTGTTTCCATTTACTGCAGCTTCCTGCCCGCCGCTACGTGATGGTGGCTGCCTCATTCTTCACGTTTTTCCTTTTTTTTTTATGTTAAGCTGCACAATCCCATGCATGCAATGTGCGAGTGATTTGTACCGAGATTCTGGTATTTATATGTTCACATTTTTTTTCGCCTGTGAGAATTTGTTCTGTGGTTGTGACTGAATCTCGGCGCCGTTGCAGACCTAGCCTGCCACACAGGCTCCGGCAATCCGGCGGCACTGGGCCGGGTGCCGCTCTGCAGACGTGCAGCGTTAACATCTCCATTCAATGATTCCCCCCACCCAGTTATCCATTTGCTCTTGACCGCAGTTATTCCCCCCCCCCCCCTTTCAGGGAATGCCATTAAATGTAGGGAATGCCCACCTCCCCTGATGAATGGTAAAGCTAACGGGAAAGTAATCCTGAAGCTCCCTCACAGTGAATGAGAACTTCCTCCCTACTGCATGTGTGGGACTAACCACCTGAGTGATGCCCAGGAGCCTCAGCTCACCAGGAATCTGGCCGGGCATCAGCGGGAGCCAGCAGGCAAGGAATTAATTAGACAGGGTGATTAAAACCCCGGATTGGGGCAAGAACAGCGAGACTTTGGCCAGAAGATGAGGGTAACATACCTGGCCTGCCTTCACTCATGTGAGCCCACCAACACTGCCTGTAACTCTGATGTAGATCTCTTCTACAAGGTCATTGTAGAACAAGGCCTCATTAGATTGGTCAGGAAAGTTTTCACATAGTCAATGACTAGCGCTGATGACTAGGCACAGTCGTACCAGCAGTCTGGTCCAACTCCATGACCAAACATGGTCTACTGAAAAACCCGGTCCTACTCTATGACCAAGCCTAGACCCAGCCCCGAATGAATCCCAATGGGCTCCAAATGATTTGTTTACCTCAGATGTTTTAGCAACCATGCATTCTCTCTTGGATAGATTAGATCTCTGGGCTAAGCCTCTGACGTCTTAAGATCCTAGCGGCACACCTGCCTACCCTGCGGGAAAAACTGGTTGATCAGCTAAGCTGGTTGACCAGTATGATAGTTGACCAGCTTAAGGTATATTTTCACATGATGGTTTGATGGTTTAGCTGCTCATACCAGCTTATGATGGTCATTCTAGCTGGTTTAGCTAGTCATCTAAGACCATCTTAGCCCATCTTAGGCCAGTTAAAACCAGCTACCAGCATAAGCTGGTTTTAGTTGGTTATTTCAGCAGGGTAGGCCTACGTATATCACTATCTAGGTCTTATACAATGGATTACTGGGTCCAGATCATCTCTATGAGAATATCTGGCCCTAGTCCAAAATGATGTTCAGTTCTGGGTCTACTCAATGTCTTCACCCTCTCTTCCACCGCTGAGCCTGCGCCAGCTCAATGACTGTGCTCAACCACCTCCATGTCCACACCTGGTCTTACTCAGCGTCTACGCCTGGTCCCAATCTGCCAGTTTGGCAGGAGGGGGGGGGGCATGCCACACATGTCAAGAATCTCCACCAGTTTTTCTCCCAGTTCCAAACCAGAAACAAGCCACCCTACGCTTTGGTCCAGCAGAACCAAATTCTTTCTCATTAAAGTAATATTCCAGCTGCCAGGGCCAGTTTGGAGATTTTCCTTGTTAAAGGAGACATCTGAATCCAAGTCTAGTAAGTGGTATAATAAATTAGAAGGAAAAGAAAGACAAAGACATTTGGTACAATTCTGAGGTGATGAAAGCATTGTCTTCCTGGATGGACATTGTCTGCCTGGATGGACATTGTCCATGAATGTCTGCTTCCTACTGGTGGCTGTTAAGTGTATCCATTGTCCAAGAACGGCATAATATAAAACAAAAAGTGTAAGATCAATAACACATTTTGTGTTCTTTACTGATTTAATCTTATACCCAACCTGGCACTTATATATGTGGACTGGCTGATAAAAAAAAAAAAAACCCATTTTGTTCCCTGAATTACTCCAGGTTCTTGTCCTTTTCATTGATCTCGGTTCAATATGTTCTTTTTGTTCTAGATCTCTTGCACAGATAAAAAAAAAAACCCCGAAAAAGTCAAAACAAATAAATGTCATGTGTGTTTAACGCAAGCAATGTGCTACCGCTGAGATAAGTATAAGATATATGTATAAGAACCGGCCTTCTCCCATAACTCTTCATCATCTGATGTGTTCCTACTATAGAGGTAAAGAGATCTGACGCTAGCCATGTGCTAAACTAGCCGTGTGCTAAACTAGCCATGTGCTACGCTAGCCGTGTGCTAAACTAGCCATGTGCTACGCTAGCCGTGTGCTACGCTAGCCATGTGCTAAACTAGCCGTGTGCTACGCTAGTAATGTGCTAAACTAGCCGTGTGCTACGCTAGCTGCTTTGAAAGACGAGGCTAATGTGTGAAGTGTTATTTCTCGCTTTCTGTGCTCTGTGTAGGACGGTTTTTCAGTGAATTAAAGCAAGTGCCACTAACATTCTTGATAAAATGTATCGAAATCTATGTGTCTTTAGTAAACAAACCTGATCAAAAACAAACCTGGTTTAGTTGATCTAGCACACAGGACGTAGATGGTTTTTCATTAGTGGCTATAGTTAGATGCACAAAAAAAAAGACATGACCAAAAACACAACATCTAGTACAAAGCTTTTAGATCTAAGCCAGCATGCAATGGATGTAGGCATGCACATATGCATACAAATGTGGACACACACACACACGCTTTGATGCAGTACGCAATTCCTGACCCCAATGTGACTGAAGCACGCGAGAAAACAAAATATTTCCTTCCATTAAGACAGACGTTTTCCTTGTTTGGATGTCCCAATGCTCTGGCTGGCGTACTTCCTGTGAAATCGTCCCCACAAGATTGCACGGTGATTGAAGTGTCCCTCTCAATTCCCCAACTCCCATGAGCCTCTGTGGCCGTGTTCCAATCTATCTTTGCAGTCCTGAGCTGTGTGTCTGTGATGAGCATCTCCACCCTATTAGAGCTGCTACCTTTCCCATTTTCAGAATGCAGATGGTGGAATAGCCCCATGATTGTCTCATATGCTGGTGCTTTTATTGTGATTGGTTGACTTGGCCCTGAAAATCCTCGGAGCAGGCAATTTTGGGGGCACCATAAGAATCACAGCGTGTGAATGCTATGGATGGTTAGAATGTAAGGAGGGCCCTATATACACATATATACAGTGAGTATGGCATCACTCTTGGTGCACGTCTTGTTGAGGTCCTGCCCTCTGAACTTACATCATGGGAAGGTGAAGCGTGTCGTGGCCCCGGCGCACTCTGAAGCGAAAAGACACCCGTACGACATCGTGACTACGAGTCATGGGACATGAGATTCAGGGGGCAGACAGGAAATGTTACTTGTTTTCCTGTAGCCATGCTATCGCTCCGTTAGCGTGCTAATGAGCGCGGGCCGCACAGCCTTCGCCGGCTCACCTGTCGCTGGCGTCCAGAGAGCTCTGGCCTGCCAGGGGGTGGTGCGCCGGAGCATTTGGGCCGCCAGGGGAGGCAGGTGCCGAGTTGCGTCCCAGGGAGTGCCTCCGGCTGCGACGCCGCTCCAGGCCTCGTCGCTCACTGCCGCCGCCCACGCTGGACCGCCTACGATCCTTGCATCCGGCGGGAGGCGGCTGAGTATCGTCATCACCGTCTTCATGCCGCAGGGTCGTCTGATGCGTGGGTAACAGTTGGTTACGATCATGGGGTTTTGCTCAGGTAGTAGGAGCCTAGTCCTCAAGGTCCGACCCACGAGGGAAAGCGGGAGAAGCAGACCTCGTAGATGTTGAACTGCTCCACCAAGTCCCGGTCTGTCGCCTTCCTGCTGAGGTGCCTCCGGGCCACGGCCTCCATTCCCTGCTCCTCCAGCGCATCCACCAGGTCATAGAAGGAGTCCTGATCTGGGAGGCCTGACAGCGTCTGCAATGAGAGTCACAGGGGTTGACCTTCAAAGGCTTTGCTATGAACTGAAGTGTAGCAGCTACGTGTTTCCTGTTTCTGTTCAATGACAACAGCGCCCAGGTTGATCTCCTGCAGGCTCTTCCAGCAGAAACACTGTAGGAGGTGTCGGTGCAGAGCGGACAGTTGTGTCTTACAGAGAAAGGTAGCAGTAAAGAGACAATGAACTCTAACTTGGTGTTTCCCAATCCAGTTCTCAGACAGTCCACCCGAAGCAAACAATCATGCAATCAAGAGCACCGAACACATGGTACAGGTATGCAGGGAGCTGGGAGGGAGCAAAAATGTGGACCGTCAGGGAGTGCCAGGAGTGGGGAATAAACCCCAAACCTGTCGGCGTGAGGCGGCAGTGCTTCCCAAAGCACCGTCCACCGTGTAGATACCGCCAGAGAGGGCCCATCTCTGACCTTGTTGATCAGGGTCATGGCGTAAACCAGCAGCTCCGTGTCCACTCCGTCCTTCTCGTCCAGGATCTCCATCGCGTTGGACCATAACTTGTGCCCTATGAGGCGGAGAGTCAGTTAGCATTCTAGCCTGATCCAGCCCCCTAGACCGGCGAGGCTCCACCCACCAGCCCCACCGCCCACCCCATCCATTAGGTTAGCTGCCTTCAAGACTGCTTCGGTTAGCAGCTGTGGTTACGGTGGCACCGGAAGGTGGTGGTTTCTAAGCCTGGCCAAGCTTCCATAGTGTGGGGGTTGAAACGTTATCACCGCCCCCCGATGAAATGTGATAATTGCTGTATGAGGGCCTGGGGTATTCAGGTTCTGAAGGTCGACCAGTAGCCACAGTCTGGACCAGGCGGGCTCCTGATTTATATCACCCCTTCCTCCAGTTAAAACCGGGAGAAGAGCCAGCGCTCTTTTCCAAGTCGCCCTACCCTCCCGAACCAGCAGGAGGCGGCCACAAGCTTATTGTTGGAAAGCGAAACAGGGAAGCCGAAACAGCTGTGTTGTGCCACTGACGGTGGTTCTAGTGTTTTCAGACTGCAGAACAAAATCAGGATGTCGGCAGCCCAGCCAAGCCGATCCACTGTGGGATCTGTAAAAACACGCAGCTCGCCAAATCTAAATATATATACATATACTGTCAACCCAGTACTTGTTAATACAGCCCAACAGTTCAATCAAGCTTTAGAGAAGCATGAATATAAATACACAAGTAATCAATGCAATACATTCTTTGGATATAAGTGAGGTTATCTCAGTGTCATATCTTATAAAGGGAACCTTCATCCACTACAGTCACTTTGCTAAATGCGTAACCTGACCCACCACCGGCTATTCTGAAGTGTAGAGGCACAGGTAACAAAGTCCACCTGTTACAGATGTCTGTGGCCATAGGTCAGGAAGGGGGGAGGGCAGGTTCACCCACTGTATACAGCCCCCAGCAAACTGACCCAACAGCACTTTGTTTATGTTTGGGTTCAGGGTTAAGTACTGAGCTCAAGGATACAACAGCATGACCCTCAAATGTCTCTTTTTTTGGGGGCTGTCCTGTCTCTCTTGTCTCTCACCTCTCTGGGTGTCCACGGCGTCGACGGCCTGGACGAGCAGAGGGGCGTTGGCCTCAGCGTACTCGACAAAGACCAGGAGCAGCTTCAGTGCGGTCTTCACCACCAGGCGAAACTGCGGGGAGAGAGAGAGTGGGAGAGAGGGACAGGGACAGAGAGAGGGGGAGAGAGAGACAGGGACAGAGAGAGGGGGAGAGAGGGACCGAGAGAAGGGAAGCGAGAGAAGGAAAGTGTAGGAGAGAAAAATGGAGGGAGGAAGAAAGTGGGAGAGAGGGAGAGAAAGATGGAGGGAAGAGGGAGAGAGAAAAAAGGACGAAAAGAGAAAGGGGGAGAGGAGACACACACACTGAGTGTCACTGAGTACCATTCTGCTATTCCAGCCACCCCCCCCCCCCCCCACACGATGACCCCGCTTCAGCAGCACAAACTGCAGAGCTGTATGTCAGCTACCAGAGAACTTCTCACAGGGGTATTTTAGGATGGTGTGAACAACCTACAATTCAGCTCTGGATGAATGGAAAAAAAAAACTTAAAAGGCCTACTGCATCCCAGACGGCCTTTACGACGGCGCTGGTCCGATCTGAACGCAGGACACGGCAGGATGAGTTATTTAAGGGTCACAGAACCCACCGAACTGCGCAAATTTAACTTGAGGCTCTTTAAAGAGGCTGCAGAAAGCAGCATGTTGTTGTGGCGAGGTCCATTCCGGGCCCAATAAACACGGAACCGCTTTTTAAAAGCGAAGAAGAATACGAATTAAAGGCGGCACTGTCTGATGAGCCGTCGACGAGAGTTTGGTGCTTCTGAAGATCGCGGGTGACTCCGCACACCCCCGGGCTCCCTGCCCCCTTCACGCTCACTGGGCCAATCTACTCGCTATGTGCCCCGCGGGGCCGATACTCTCCACTGTGTCCGTGTGCCGATGAGCAGCAGGCTGCCCCAGCTGCCCAGCGAAGCTTGAACAGAAGGCCTATCATGGCGGATGCTTGTTCGGAGGGAAAAGACGGCCATCAGCATCGAATAGCTGATGACAAAAACTGACTGGAGAGTCCCCACATGGGATGACGACATAGATTAAATGAGGATCATGGAAGTTTTACTTACACAAAAGTGTTCTGAGGGCAGAAGGAAAAATGATTGGTTCAGAGAGACAACCAATCAGATTGTAGAGGAGGTGGGTCCAAGCAACTAGAGGTGGTGGGACCAACCAATTAAATGTCTTGGTCACGCCTCCTCTAGTTGCTTAAACGAGTCACCCATATTACTATTGTTATCTTTCTCCAAAAGGTCTGGACCTTGTCCCTGTTATCAGAAGACTGCTGGTTCAAATCCTAGGGTTGGCAAAGTAATTTCACTACTCGGCCCTTGAGCAAGGCCCTTGACCCCCCCCCACCCCCATCTTTCCAAGGACTGTCTAACCCTCCTTACATGTAGACATCGCTTTAGATAAAAGTGGCTGCTAAATAAATTAAGGTCCGCTTCAGTTTTTCATCAGATGCTCCCCATTTCGATTTTATAATGAGTAAAAAAGCAACAGAGGTCAGCGCACTCAGATTACGCTCAACCCGCATTTTCAGGTGCAGCAGGAACACACCAGAAAGCTTGCAGAGAACCTTGGCGTGCCTCCAATATTAAGCAGAAAAAACAGGGCATTAATTTTAGTCACAATTAAGAGTCACGTTTCCCTAAGTCAGAGCCAAACCTCAACGAACAATGATCATGGCTAAAGGGATCATTTAAATGCTCAAAATATCGGCTCCCATAAGTCACAGATGGGCCTTTCAGTCCACATATTATTTTTATTTTTCTGAGGACAATTGATTCCAGATTGTGATCAAATGTCAGCTATAATGATAACAACAGACTGTTCATTTTGCAAGGAAAGAATGTTCTGTCAAAAGCTGCTGTAGTAAACACAGGCTGGCCCGCTTGCAAAAACAGAACAGCTCAGTTTACTGTTATTAGGAGTAACTCACGGCTTTAATCCACCAACGAAGCGCATATCTGATAAGCTTTTTGTGTTCCCTTCCCTGAAGAGCCCCTTCAAAAACATATAGAGCAGGAGCTGCATCTAGATCCCTCATAAAGTTCACGCACAGCTCCAAGAGAGGGCCAGGGTACAACCTGGTATCACCCAGCAGGCTCGCCGGTCGCCTTCGTACCTTCGATCCGACGAGGGAGTAGAGCCATTGGATGGTCTCGCTGTGACCTATGACCCCGTTCATTCCGTCCACATAGAGCATGATCTGTCCCAGGGCTGCAGAAGGAAAAGGGAGGGGTCAGTCACTGGAGGACAGGGAGATCCACAGGGAACATTGCATGGAGGTCCATAGTGCAGGATGGGACAAGTGGAGTCCCCTGTTTTACTGACTGGTGCATCTGGGGAGTTTAAGACCCAGGGGAATCCAGAATCCCTAAATTACCCAGAGATGCTTAATGAACAAGCAGGTTTTCAGGCCTTTCTCAATATGCGTACTTGACTGTACTTGTATACCCATTTTGCTTCATCTTCCAGTGCCGAAGACTAGTTCCAATACTAAGAACATAAATACAGAGGATAGTTAAATGTCAATTCATGCCCGTCCCTAAATATCAAGGATACATGGGTTGCATCCTGACCAAATGAGAACAATCCCATGATTCACTGTGCAGCAAGTTCGTTCTTGGGATGCAAGTGGGCAAGACCGCAAGTACGATCTTCGTGCTCTTGGTGTTGAGAATCACCCAATGAGCCCCATCTCCCTCGGCCAAAAGTGACGGAGGTGAACTTCAGAAGGACCTGAAAGTGTCCGAGGTGAATGACCCCTTGGAAGGCGCTTAAGCAGCCAGCAAGTTGGGGGGGGGGGTGCAGCGAGCGGTATACAGAGGAAATCCTCAGACTGGTCCAATTTCCGGAGCCCCATGCTCAGACATCGAGAACGGTGGTCCCAGAGGGTTCTGGGGGGAGAAACTGTCGGCAGGGCCTGAAGACAGCAGGACTGGAGAAAAAATAGACCTCCGTCCAGCCCGCAGTGAGCCACCTGTCCAAACAAAGCCAGGGATCCCCCGGCATGCGTTCACCATGTCTGCTCCCTTCCAAGTCGATTGGCTGACATGGTTGATGAAAAGAGACTCACATTCCTTACTCATCAACACGGATGGATTCTCCATACAGGACCGACTCAGGCCTCGCAGGCACCATCAGCCAAGGGCACCGCTGCAGGGTCCCTCAAAGGGCTTATACCAGCACCTTCAGATTTGAGGCCTGTGCCCTTAATCACTATGCCCCCTGCTGCCCATTTTAAATACTTCATGAGTGAAAGCAGTTGACAGAATAATAATACATCAGTATGACTAGATGGCAATTAACCAATTTGTACATCCCAAAAACCTTTTGCTTATTTCTGAATTCATAAGGTCATGGGAGCGGACGGCTTAACGCTATTCAATCACATTTAGCCGGCATCCTAACGCTCGGCACATTATGAGCCCCAATCTGCTGGTGGCCAGGCGGACCTGCACGACTTGAGTGGCACCGAGGTCCGTTCGCGCTCCAGATAGCTCCGATGAGTTTTTCCATCACAGCCGCGCGCGGACATCCAGAGTCGGCAAAACATGGGAGCCAGAAAGACACACTGAACACTGTTTCCGACGTTACATAACGGGGAAAACTCGCAATCGGCAGGGAGGATGATGGGAATGATCCTGTCCTGACCTCCACAGCCTCAGATGGGGCTAATGCCCATTAAATCAGTGAGACATAAGCACCCCCCCTTCACATGGAAACAATGGCAACCAGATCCAAGGGCACTAAACCCCATTTGCTTCAGTCTTAATGAGTTACGGCTGCTGATTTTTAACTGTGGTTCAGCTGCAGATTTTGGGGGGGGGG